CGGAGAGGATGTAGGACTCGGGAGCTATAATAGGTTTGGTAACCAGGCTAGAAAATAACAGAATGTCAGATTTATGTTCTGCCAAATAAACGTAGACTACCTGGAATACCATATGAGGTTAGCTACACCTATAGTCTTGAATTACCCATCAAAACTATACACTGAATGTTGTAAAAAGGAAGCGAGAAAATAATGGAGAGAGTACATGTACACCAACAGGCTTCAGAAGCGGCTGGAAAGAGTAGAAATTGTCCGAATAGATCTAGATAGTTCGATGGGGGTATTTGCCGCCTCCCTAACACTTAGTGTGTTATCTGTCTTTTTGGCCAATTCCTACTCTTTCCAGTCGCTTCTGGAGCACGTTAGAGGCTAGTAGCTGCAATGAAGTGGAAAATTTAGAATCATTCATATCGTGACATGTCTCTCCCTCCCTAGGTGTCTCCTGTGAGCGAGAACCGCGTGTCCTGGGGCCGGCCGTGGTGGGAGCGCTACCAGCCGGTCAGCTACCAGCTCCAGACCCGCAGTGGCAGCGAGGCGGAGTTCAGGGACATGGTCAAGAGGTGTAACAATGCCGGCGTTAGGTGGGTCTGTCTGTAATAGAAGGATCATACAGCAAGAACGTACTATACATATACCTCGAGGACTGGCTTAGTACGATATGAACGTACGTTCTTGACGTACGTCAAAGCAGGCCATTTTATATACAGGAAAAAGTCGACGTACGTCAGGTTTGTACCCGTGTGGGTCTAAGCTAGGACGGATAAATCAGTAAATATCCCATAGTTCACGTTTAGAATTTGCGGTCTGACACCATCCAGTATTTCCCGGTGGATTACGTCAAGTGTACACAAGTTCACTAAGTCCTCACTATCTTTTCTACTTCCAGTGCATGTCGCCTTTGGTCAGCGATAATATGATCCTATACATGTCGTGCTCTGACCTTAATACATGTATATCTAAGGTAGCGTTTTCCACTACTTGATAAACCGTACGTTTCGTACAGAATTTACGTCGATGCTGTGTTCAACCACATGGCAGAGGGGTCAGGGTACGGTACGGCCGGGTCTAGCTACAACGGCCTGGATTTCCCCGGTATCTACAGCGCCTTCGACTTCAACGATGCCAAGTGCCACACCGCAAGCGGGGGCATTGAAAACTACAATGATGCCGACCAGGTATGTAATTATCTCTAGATTTTAAGGTTTGCCTGGGAATCATGCTTTGTCCAGGACCCGTGGATGCTTCAGCGTTTCATATGCTGTCACGACTGTAGTGTAGAAATGATTGATGGGTATAACTTCAATATCATGGTCTGCTTGGCCTTTTTGGCAAACATTGAAAGCTTTCGAATATCTATATGGTACTGTTAACCATCGGGCACATCTTTTCCACAGGTCCGTAACTGCAAGCTGCAAGGTATGGCAGACCTGAACCAGGGTTCCGAATACGTCAGGGGCAAGGTCGGTGCTTTTTCTATTCATTTGTCCATAGAACATGCCATTTTTCTATCGTCCTTACACTAGAGTACTGCTTGTTATGCTATATATACAGTTTTATATGTTTTCGTACCAGTGAGATTCCGCGGTATCAGCAATTTAAGTCATCACCTTGGTGACCAATTACAATGTACTTGAGTCACTCATCGTCATCACACTCACGCCATCCAACCAGTTATTCTCATCTTAAACCCAGCTATCTTTTCTTTTACTGAAATCATGTCTTCTTGTTTTATCACCAACACAACTCACAGATCTCGGAGTTCTTGAACAAGCTGATCGACGCCGGTGTTGCCGGGTTCCGAGTGGACGCGTGTAAGCACATGTGGCCGGGAGACCTGGATGCCGTCTTCGGCAGACTGCACGATCTTTCCACCGATTACTTTCCCGCGAATACTCGACCTTTCATCGTCCAGGTACGCTCACATTAATTACACAACTCAGGGCCGGAAGAGCAATTTGTGTCTAGATGTCCTCATTCAAGTGCTGGGGGTAGGGGCAAGCACTTACTGTCCGAACCAGTTCACGTTGCTTCATACTATAGTATATGTGAACCACTTTATGATCTGAAATTGGTTACTAGTACTTTGGTTTCCCTTTACTGCTCACCGATCATGTTAATGATCATTCTGGCATAGGTATCATTTTCACCCGAGCGAAGTGAGGAAAGTCGTGTAAAGTGCATTTCCTAAAAACCCAATGGCAGGGTTCGAACCCGGGACCTCTTTGTCCTGAGCCGAATGCTCCACACAACCCCTCTAAATTGGGCTGATTATAATACTTAAAGTTCATGATCACCAACTTCTCGCTGTTGATACCCAAGTTCCGATGATAGTCTCTTGCTGTTAACAGGAAGTGATTGACGTCGGAGCAGGCGAGCCAATCACATCCGGTCAGTACCAACATGTCGGCCGCGTCACCGAGTTCAAATACTCCAAGTTCATTGGCGAGGTGTTCCGGAAGTGGAACAACCAGAAGCTGAGCTACTTCTCCAACTGGGGTATGTGCAAACTAGCTTAGCTATATCATCTATACTACTACTACTATTACTACTATTACTACCAATCCTGGAAAGGACAAACTGACTAATCCTGGAGAGGACAAACTGACTCGAATCCTACTACTGCTACTGTTACTACTACTGCTGCTGCGCATGCTACTACTACTATTACCACTACTATTAATCCTGGAGAAGACAAACTGACTGCATACCCCGTGCTTCAGGTGAAGGCTGGGGCATGCTGCCTTCTACTAGCGCCGTTGTCTTTGTGGATAACCACGACAACCAGCGTGGGCACGGTGCCGGAGGTGCCAGCGTCATCACATTCAGAGACTCCAAACTATACAAGGTGGACATCAGTCCAAGAGAAGATTAGTAGTTTCACATGAAAATCATGTTGGGAAGTCGCTGCAACCTTGGTGATTTATCTTCGTGATCACATTATCTAATGATAATCATACACATGCCTTTTCATGTATCCTCAAGCCTCTTCCGTACTGCCATAGCAGCTGGACTTTACAAGGCTAGCAAAAGACAGAAAACATCCCGCAGTATTTTCAAAGTGTAGCTGGTTAAATTGCACCAACTGCCTGATTAAAATGTTGATTTTTTTATGTGGTTTAAAAGAAATAAATGGGAACATGAGCGCTAGTCTGACATCATTTGATACTACCTGTCTATTGCAATGGAAAACCATGACAAAGTACGGAGTAAAGACATCTTTGTTCGGCTTCATCCCTAGATGGCCAATGCTTTCATGATGGCCCATCCTTACGGCTACGCCCGTGTGATGTCCAGTTACTACTTCGACTCTCACGCCACTGACCAAGGCCCACCGAGTACTAACGAAAACACCAACAGTGTCATCATCAACTCTGACGGCACCTGTGGAGGAGATTGGATATGTGAGCACAGGTAAGTCAACGATGCGATTCTCGCTAACAAAAAGCTTAATTCTACCGGGCTTCGGAAAAGCGGCTGGAAAGAGTAGAATTTGGCCAAATAGATAAGTAACATACCAGAATTGGTCCGTTAAATTTTGCCGACAAACGCCCTTGGCATGTTAGCTGTCTATTTGGCCAATTTGTACTCTTTCTAGTCGCTATCAAAGACTAGTAGAAAGTAGTAACAGCATGCAGTGGAGGTCCATTTTGTTGATGGCTTCAGTTGTAAAACTGTAAACTGCAAACGGTGTTAACGAAATCACAGAAATTTATTCACAAAATTGTTTCAAATTATGTGAATACTTCTTGAGAAGGCACTCGTAGAAGCGTAAAGATCGGTCGGCCTGTATTAGTGTCCAACATGGTCAAGTTGTTTAGGATTGGATGTCAGGAAAAGGCTACAATGCTGACAACAGCCAAGTGCCACCACTGTGGAAGGTCTTGTTGGCGTTTACACATTTTGTAGAATGTATTAAAAGTCACAAGGTTAAGCATCAAATTGTATTTTCCTACAGGTGGCGGCAGATCAAGAACATGGTCCAGTTCCGTAACGTGGTCACCGGGCAGACTCTGCAGAACTGGTGGAGTAACGGCAACAACCAGATCGCCTTCTCACGTGGCAACAAGGGCTTCATCGTCATCAACAACGATGACTGGAACATGAACGAGTGGCTGCAAACAGGTACGATGTACAGGCCATTGGTAACTAAGTTTAACCATGTGACGGTACCGTCACGTGCACGATACGTTTATTTGTGCCTCGAATTCCCAATTCTCTTCTATCCACTGTTCGGTAGAGGCAAACTGTGCTTCTTCGCCTTCAAGTGACCAACTCCGCTTGCAAGGTCTGTCTATTTGGCCAATTTCTAATCTTTTAGCCGCTTCTGAATCCTGGTGGTAGAGAAAATACATGCAGCATCATGCCAGATTATGACAGTAACTAGTTGCAGTTTACTACAATTACGTGTTGCATAATAATATGCCTTTCTCAGGCATGCCTGCCGGAAGCTACTGTGACGTCATTTCCGGCGAGAAGCACGGCAGCCATTGCTCGGGCACGACCATTACAGTAGGAGGGGACGGAAGGGCGCATTTCCACATCTCCAACCATGCTGATGACGGAGTCATCGCTATCCACCAGGATTCTAAACTGTAACTTATAAAGATCATGAGTAAATACATCTTTGCGTAGCATGTTGAAGTAAAAAGAATAAAAGACAATTGGTTGCAGAATGTATTTCTCTGATCCACCTTATTTGCTTGCACGAACAAGTCAGGTATTAATACCTACGGTTGAATAAACAAGCAAAAGCAAACAAACACACTCCCTCACGTGCACAGTCACAGTGTCTGTTAATGCTGCTGAAATGACCTTGTTTCAAGCAAACCTTGGGACTGCCGCGTGTTTTATCACCTGCCTAATTTCTCATAAACATCGGAAGACCTGTGTTGGTTCTCCATATTTACCCACAGTTAAAATAACATAAAACGATCGATCCATTACCTGTTACATAAGCTGTCTACGTCAGACTACTAGTATATTGGTTGACTAGAACCTTTGTAACGAGTGGGAGAGAGTCCAAATTCCAAAAACCAAAATACCCAGCTTTCTGTCATTACTTTCTTACTCTGGAAAATTGCCCTTTTTGTCAATGTCTATCGCTATCATTAAATGAAGACATGGATCCATTTAACACACTTTTGTGAAGGAGAATTTTGTTTTCCTGTAGATATTATAAAATAAAATTAAAAAATAAAATCTGCCAAATTGATATTTCGCAGTTAGGAATACGTTTTGTGAGTCGGGATTGCAGTCTAATTTTGCACACTAATGGAATGACATGTAAAAGTTGAAAAATTAGTTATTTTTTAATCTGATGATCTGATGAGGTTTTTAGCAGCCTGGGCACCATCCTCCGTAGTTATCACCGGCTCTCTCTTGTATGGCTATTATGGATGGCTTAAGGCACGTGGAGCATATCATAATTGCCTTTGACCCACTGTGGACAAAATGACCTGAAGGGTATTTGGCACGTGACTTTAATAATTTCGTCGTTACCTTGACCTTGACTCAGCAGCACACGTTGGCAGAACGTACTGCGCCTGCGCGAAACCGTGACGTAACGTGCACAGCATTTCCACGAAAGGTACTGTTTAAGGTCGTTTTCGGGTATTTAAGGTCGATATCCCGTCTGTAGTTTTCAAATATGTCAGGAAACATCTTTTGCAACAGATAAAATTCTGAGGCAACGTTGACCAAACTTCCAACAGAAACCGTTTCATGCAGGCGTAGTAGGTTATGCCGACGAGGTACCCAACAGGATACCCCCCCCCCCAAAAAAAAAAGACCGATCCGGGAACGCCTGAAAAGGAGGCTAACACGCGACCATTATTTCATGGAGCATATCATTATTTCATGCTATTGCTATCCCGGGACCAAAGTAAACATACGTTATTCAAACAACGCCCACCAATCATAACAGGTTAGGAAAGGTCTAGAATGTGTTCTGTCTTATCTCTACCTTCCTCCCAGACCGGTATAAATACACACCTCCCGCGCGTGAACCTCTGACCAGTTTTCACAGCTGTTCACTTGGCGGAGACGTGGGCCACAACAAGGTGAGCGCAATGTTTATGATATCTATGGGAGAAACTTGGCTCTGGTACGAAATAGTTGCGTTATCACGGGAAAGAGAACAGTATTTCATCTAATGCAATTAGATGAACGACAAAAAATATTCTGAATAAGGAAATCTGTCTGATATTGACATTTATATTTGTCGTCATCATTTAATATTTGAGGTGTTTTGAATAGCCCCAAAACAATTTATGCGAGGAGACCTTTTATTTGCTGGTACCATGTACCACTACAACGAATGAATAACTAGAACCGGTCTACGATACGAAACATTCAACATTCGACATTAAACACATGGAGGGATTTTGTGGTCCGTTGTCTGTATGCAGTGAAAAAGCTGCCTGCTAAAAGTCAAACTAGGCGTGTCATTTCAACACGTTATCTATAGTAAACTTGGTCAAGCGAAGATCCCGCCAATACGGGGACGCCTAAGCTTAGTATGGCTTTCTGTTGTCCTGTTGTGACAAACTTATCAGATAAGACCCTAAGTATGTATAATATGTAAGGTGTGTTAAGGTGTTACGCTTAGCTATTGTAGTGCGCAAAGGAGTGCCGTTTCTATAGGTTATTTGTTTGGTCATGTGGAACAGGCCACAACGACTTGATTTTATATATGACATCCTCTGAAGACCACCAAACTAGTGTGCGCGGGCGAATAAAAAAATTCCGGCCAAAAATAAAAATCTGCTAAACCACAGGGATACAAAGCTGGTATTGTGAATTTGCGGCAGTACATAGCGACGTATACAACAAGCCGGCACATGCTGGCTTTTCTGTGGAATTTATAAATCGGCACTGTGCGTATGTACGTACTGAGTTCTTGCCGTCGAGGAGCTTCGGTGATCTAGGTGCCATCCTCCAGAGTTACCACCGGCTCCGTATTGTCACTAATTACCATGGACTGACTACCCAGGCCTAGAGCCTCCGAGGACGTCATTTTTTTTTGAGAAAATCAATGCGCGCGCGGACCGGATGTCATCCATAAAATTAATTTGGTGTGGCCTTACTACATTAAAAGAATTGACACAAATTTGGTTTTATCCCTTTCATATAGAATCAGATGTGGTTTTGAATAGAACACTAAAATCTTTTTTTGCAATTTATTTCCCCTGTAGAACAACATCAGCATGAAGCTCCTCATCGTCCTGTCGCTGTTTGCGGGTGCGATGGCGCAGTGGGGCGCGAACCTCGAGAACGGACGTACCAACATGGTGCACCTGTTTGAGTGGAGGTGGGCGGACATCGCGGCGGAATGTGAGCGTTTCCTCGGGCCTAACGGCTTCGGTGCAGTACAGGTAGGGCGTCAAGAAGCTTTCCTACACGTCAAATGAAGTCTGCAGTAGCTCGTAAGTTTGGACTTGGGTCTAGACTTCGTCTTGATCTTTGTAGTAAACTCAAACAACTTTGTCAGTTCAAATGTTGGATCCCGGACATCTCGTTTTGATGAATGCCACCTTACCATATTGTGTTAAGCTCTTAAATGCAATGTGAAAATATCTGTCGGCGACCTCTAAACGTAAATGTAAATATCGAATAGTCTTCGGAGGTTTTATAGTATGTATGATACTTCGCTGCAATTTAGCACTAAGACTACGATTTTGTACTTTTAGCGTGTGATGTATCAATACACCAGTTCATCTCATATCTTGTTGCTTTGGTTAACGTGGCAAATGTAACAACTCCATGTTCTAGGTCTCTCCTCCAAGCGAGAACGCGGTGAAAGACGGGCGTCCATGGTGGGAGCGCTACCAGCCGGTCAGCTACCAGCTCCAGACCCGCAGTGGCAGCGAGGCGGAGTTCAGGGACATGGTCAAGAGGTGTAACGATGTCGGAGTCAGGTGGGGAAACTTTGGACATTGTAGTCTTCCTTTGCACAAACAGTAAAGTCTCTCACCTGTATACCATTCAATGCCTATCAGCCATCTTCCTCAGATCTTGTGACTAGAGTACACCTTCTCACCTTCTCGCCACTCGCTAGATGTAGGTGGTGAGGTTTGTATCTTGGGTAAACTTTTTATTTGCAATACATACAGCAACGGCAAATAGACTAGGATTGTTACACTTACACAAACAAACCCACGAAGGCTTGTCTCATCTGAATAAAATGGGAATTTTAAGAACTTCATAGTTGCTAACCACACATACATTCCAATTCTATCTGATACTATTTGGGACGACTTGGAATATATATACTAATGAATACATTCTATAACCTTTCAGGCAAAAAGCATCTAAATGTATTTTACGGTTTTCAATAAATAAATAAAAAGAAATAAAATGCGTATGTACATATCTTCATTTCTTACTAAAACAAGACAAATTATAGACGCAAATTATACACAGGATTTACGTCGATGCCGTGATCAACCATATGGCAGCCGGGTCGGGCTCCGGTACAGCCGGGTCCGGGTACAACGGAGAAGACTTCCCTGGCATCTACAGCGCCTTCGACTTTAACGACGGCAACTGCAACTCTGGAAGCGGAAACATCGAAAACTATAACGACGTTAACCAGGTGTGTATTTGTGTGTGTGTGTGTGTGTGTACATGTGTGTGTGTGTGTGTGTGTGTGTGTGTGTGTGTGTGTGTGTGTGTGTTCATATGGTTTGTTTGCCTGTGCATCTTTCCATGTGCTTTTAAGTCTTCATGCATATGACCAAGCATATTGGGTCTACGATGCTGGTTCGACTAGCCTTTTTCTGTATACTCCGAAAACCTTTACATGCTTACGGTATAAGTTTTCGCGATCAATCTAACCAGGGAACTAGATCTTGACGAATCATTTTTGACAAAGATGGGAAATTATAATGAACAACGATTGGGCTAAAAATGTAGATGTCACTCTTGATTTTTTTCGGATTCCGTTTGGTTTTGCTTTGTGATATCCGCTTGACGCATACTAGTATTCTTGCACTACAGGTCCGTAACTGCAAGCTGGTCGGTCTTCCAGATCTGAACTTGGGAAGCGAGTACGTCAGGGGCAAGGTCAGGGATCTTTCTTATCATTCGAGGTTTAGTCAAACATTTACTCCTAGATCTTATCGATAAACTTGCCATTAATAAATCTATACATTATCCATTATGTGTTTGTTTCTGCATTTTCCAGATTGAACATATGGTTACATAATCTCGCCTGGCCTCCAAGTAGAATAATATACTAATTTTCCAAATTCAGCACTTATTGAAGACACGCTGTTTTTCTGCTCACAGATAGCGGGCTACATGAACAAGCTGATCGACGCCGGTGTTGCCGGGTTCCGAGTGGACGCGTGTAAGCACATGTGGCCGGGAGACCTGGCTGCCGTCTTCGGTAGACTGCACGATCTTTCCACCAACTTCTTTGCGGCCAACACTCGGCCTTTCATCGTTCAGGTATGCGCAAAATAACAACTTGTTGTGACTACGAATTCGTGTAAGAGCTGACAGAGAAATACCACTCTTTCTCTTGCTTACTGCCTTGAGTCGCCGAGGAAACTGACAGACTCTCGTCCAGTTCCGTCGGTGGCCTAAGGCAGTTAAGCCCGCCAATCCATTTCTTAAGGGCCGGCCAACTCCCTCGGGCTACGACGCCCCCGTAGCGCTAATTTAGATCAGCGGGCTCACTGCCTTGAGTCGCCGAAGGAACTGACTGACAGCCCGATAGCCAGTCTGGCTCTCAGAGTACAGACTCTCCGTCCTCTGGCAATAGACCGATCCCGAATGTTCATCACAATTAGACGTTCAACCAATGAGAGAAGGGCAATTAGCGGTTCGACCAATGACGGAGGTGAACGGGGCTTCGGGATTGGTCTATTCCCATTGACGATAAATATCATCCATGTCAGCTCCTACCTTGTTGCCAACAGGAAGTGATTGACGTGGGAGGCGGCGAGCCAATCACATCGGGCCAGTACCAACACCTCGGCCGCGTCACCGAGTTCAAATACTCCAAGTTCATCGGCGAGGTGTTCCGGAAGTGGAACAACCAGAAGCTGCACTACTTCTCCAACTGGGGTATGTGTGGGATAAGTAACGTTATATTTGAAATTTAAAAAGGTAATATGAATATGCACGTTTAAGAAGTTACCATATAAGGCAACTCATCATAACAGGTTATAATCATTTACGTAATGTTGCTTCACCCAAATCCCAAATCTGTTTGTTTTATCCAAGTATATCTAGTCAATCGTAGTCAGTGGCTGTACGGTTGTATTTGCCAGTAGTAGATCAACCTTGGACCAAAACTAGCTATATATAGGTCTTGTAGATCATCAGTGCTAATATAGTCGATTTCCTTCTACTGGTGTGTTGGTATGTGTATGGTTATGCTACAGTCAAAGCAGACAGTGTGCTATCATTGATGTACCATTGTATATCCTGTGCAATAATACCAGGTGAGGGTTGGGGCATGCTGCCTTCCGGCAGTTCTCTTGTCTTCGTGGATAACCATGATAATCAGCGTGGTCACGGTGCCGGCGGCGCCAGCATCCTGACATTCAGAGACTCCAAACTCTACAAGGTAAATATCAAAAGATTTAAAAAAATGCATCTCCAGGTTCTGTTTACAAACTCTTGAGTAGCGAATATGCTAGTAGTACATGTACGTAGAGACACCTGGTTTACACTGGTAGAAGTTATCTTTCAGAATAGTTTATGGTCAGGATGGTAAAAATAGGATATTGGTGGCGTGGTAGAAGCTATATCCAACTGCATAATGCACATTCCCTGTCAAAACTAACGATAATATTCTCTATTTCCAGATGGCCACTGCTTTCATGCTGGCCCACCCTTACGGCTACCCTCGTCTGATGTCCAGTTTCTACTTCGACTCTCACGCCACTGACCAAGGTCCTCCCAGCAGCAACGGTAACACCAACGGTGTCCAAATCAACTCTGACGGCACCTGTGGAGGCGGCTGGATGTGTGAGCACAGGTAAATCAACATTTCTGGCCACGTGCTTTGTTAATCTCCAAGCAGATTCTTAGGGGCAACGGGACTGTGTTGGCCGCCTAGGGATACACGCCGGCGGACAATATTGACTCCCATTGCCCCGCGAGAATCTGCTTGGAGATTAGCGCTTTGTTGTCTATGAGTTATGATGTGTTTACGATACTTGACGTATTAACGACACTTTTTCGTCTTGCACCCGAAAGAGCCAAAGCTATTGCCAGAACGTTTTGCTCACTGCCACGGTTTATTTACTTCATTCATGAATAGAGTCGTGTATACCTTCTGCAAGAACCCCTGACCAGTCCTCAACAAAGTTGGCTTTTCCTGACGTCCAACACACTGAAAGTAACGCTACATGTACCGTAGTGTAAATTCAGTAGCAGGCTCCTGGTGTTATACTTACTAGTATTCCCATTTTTGAACTTCCTTCGCTGTGGTGACATCATTGTCTCAATTCTTGATATCTCAGGTGGCGGCAGATTAAGAACATGGCGCAGTTCCGTAACGCGGTCCACGGACAGACTCTGACAGAACTGGTGGAGTAACGGCAACAACCAGATCGCCTTCTCACGGGGCAACAAGGGCTTCATCGTCATCAACAACGATGACTGGAACATGAATGAGTGGCTGCAAACAGGTACGATGTATCAACTAGAAAGGTAACATTTGCAAATCAAATGCATAATGTTTACCGTCACACATATGGTCTGCTCTGTTATTCTTACTCAAACACATTCATATATATGGTCAGACAGGAGTCTAAATCCCTCCTGCTATAAAATTGCAACATGATGTAGCCCAACACTAGTTACCATGGTAACAGACAGTCTGGTTCAGGTCATTGTACCTTTTTGTTTGGGGAAGAAGAGGAAACAGAGCAAAACAATATGTCTTCCTTCAGTAAACATAATGAGGTTATAGCAAAATTTTAGTTTAGTTGCAAATTAATAATACTAACGTTGTGTTTAGCTAAGATTACCCATTTTTGCCACAGACAGACGACTCAATGAAATCAACATTATCATATGCTATCTTTCACAGGCATGCCTGCCGGAAGCTACTGTGATGTAATTTCCGGCGAGAAGGACGGCAACCACTGCTCGGGCACGACCATTACAGTAGGAGGGGACGGAAGGGCGCATTTCCACATCTCCAACAACGCTGATGACGGAGTCATCGCTATCTACGAGGGTTCTAGGCTGTAGAGCTTCATCTCAGATGAAGTGGTCCAGAGCAACTAGTTATGCGTCTCGAAAGCACAACTGATTACTTGAAATAAAATCTAAAAAAAACCTAACAACATACTGGTGTTCACTTTATGGTACCTCCCACAAACATATAAAGTTACTAGTAACGTTATACACACATAGTGTACACCTAATCAAGAAAATCCTTCCATGTCACGAAAGCAGTAAAGTAGGCTTCGTGCGTGGGACGTCCTTTCAATGTTACTTCATGCTCCTGAAAAATGAAAACAAATCTGGCATTCACTTCATCTATTGTTGGGAAAATGCAAGTTTGCCCTTGGAGAAATGTTTGCTTTTAAGACGTACAAACTTTGATGTTGGCAGCTATGTAACATCTTTTTAACACATTGTGATGATATGAAGTTTGTAAGTTACTATGTATTTGTCTCATATCTAGTTTTCTCATGTAAACATGGAAAGTGTTTTGGGAAAAAGTTTGGGGACTTGTCACCAAACTAAAATTCTTCTAGCTAGAACAGATTTGATAGGTATCTAGGCCATTGGTAGCCTGACTAAATCTGCGCTCCTAGCTGGGGGGCGGCTGGTGTAATTCCGGGCCGGCCGCTAGGAGCGCAGATTTAGTCAGGCAAGGCCATTGGCTTTTACAAAAAAAGTGTTTTGGAAAATGGAAAGAATGTTGAGACATTTCTATATTTCTCCATGTTTACAGGAAGCCCCAATTTGTAGTGTTGTGTTTTATGTACCAATAAAAGTTTCATATGACAGTCCAGGGAACTCTGGTTTTATTGCATATGCGAAATATGAGACCAATCTATCCTGCCGTTCTTGAGTTATCCTGGTGAAGAACACACATAGGCGCTGCCTAAAGTATAACCACCATTTGACGAGCGTCATTGACGTCATCATAATTATCATATGAATATCGACGACCTGGTGTTGACGGGTAAACTGAACAGGCATGCACTGTAATCCAACATGGTGGACGTGAAAAGCCTCTTTACTTGCTTTAGATTGTTGTTCGATAGACATGGAACTAAATATAATAATTTGCCACTGCCCTCAAACAAGAAGAAACCCCCCCTGGCTCCAAAGAATTCATCGAAGCGGCATGGAGTTAGTTCTCCCCATCTGAGGCCGAACATGGAAGCCTCCAGCCACACCTTGTTTAGACGACGTGTCTAGACGTCGTGTCTAGACGCCGTACGTCGGGACAGAGCGTCTGGGTTACGTCGGGACAGAGCGTCTGGGTATATAAGGCCTGACTAGCAGGCCAAGCTCACTCTCGTTGAGGGTTTAGTTTTACGTCCTTGTGACTCATCATATCGTTTTGACTTGCTCTGAAGAGAATGGCGAGGATTAACAACACCGGTGAGCCCAATTATACTTCCAGTATTGTTCGCTACACAGTTTCATCTTACCCATAGAACGAATCCCATTAACAGAAATCGTGACTTACTCATGCCGATTGATTATGAATGTTTTCTGGCCTGATGTCCAATCTATCTACATAGCTATCGCAGTTTGGGTACGTACTCTTCGGGGCTGCAAGCTCTTCTACCGCCAGACTCAAATATGCTCCCGGTAGGATATTCACGACGACAGTAGCAATCAGGGGCTAATCAATTACTCGATCCTGTCGTAAGATAAGTCCTACAGGCGCAAAACTCGGTCGGGAAGAAACTTCGAAGAGTGTCCTCTAAAAGCGCGATATACCAAGCTCGAGTACTTCTTTAAGAAAGGAACACTAAACTTCTGTCTCGTAAACAATCGTTACCATCGGAAAGGATGGAAGCCATTCTTCCTATTGGTAAACAAAAGTGTAAATACTAGGTACAAATAGTAGATCGCTTCGTCAATTCTGTGAAGTTTCGTAGGGTAGAGTATTCGTTTAGTGTTTTATGTGTAGGCTTTTTGACCCGGGTTCGAATGCCAGCTTGAGCTTTTCCTTTTTCTCTTAGTATGTGTATTTTTCAACGATCATGCTGTCGTACATTTGCTATTATTTACCAGCGCCATTTGCTGTACAGCGCAATCTTACTAGAACAACCCTCTCTCCTTTGTTTGTAATCTTGAAAACTGGCTACTTTCAAAATGAAACGAAATCGCCAACGATCGAAAACCTACTTGTTTTAGGTCGTTGACGTTGAAATTTCCATTGTTATGTGAAGTCGATCGCGTTTATCAAATTTCCCGCGCTTTATAAAAATGTTTCAGAGGTTCGCTAGATGGCGCTAGTTATGGATCGGTCCTTCTTGTCACAAACTCCCAGTCATTTTACCAAGTGAAATACATTTGTATGTACGGAGAAATGCGTTACGTGTATACTTTGTTATGCCCCTGAAGTTTCCATAAAATGTCATGTACTTTTCTTGAGTTTGTACATGTGTACCTAGGACATACAGGGGATATCATTTATGGTTTTGGTAGCACCTACAACATTGTCAATTTGAGGCTCCTTGCCAGTAAATCAGCGTCCTTTGTTTCCGTCTTGTATATAAAACGGTCGTTGCCATTTGTGACGGCTATATCGCTGAATGGTCGATGCTATATCATCATAATGTGGCTTAAAATGTGAGCTGAGCAATGTCTATTGTGTTGAACGAAAGTTACTCAAACTTCAATGTGAATAATTGTACCAACACTTTTTCT